CACACGCTTGAACACTTAGCTCATAGCGGAGCTCCTGTCGTTCTCGGCCCTTCCGACCGGAGTCCGACCGGACCTCTCATACACCCCATCTTTCTCCTTCTCGTTTGTAACCCCACTGCAAACTTCGAGCACCTGGGCTCAGGAATAAAGTCACCGACCGACTCAAACCGGAGCGTAGGGCACGTTGCCTGAACCAGTATAAACCCTGTGTCATTGAGTGTTAGGTCACCTCCGATCACAACGTACGACAAAACTATAAATATTTACTTGTAGGTCACTTTCTACACCGACATCCTGATATGTGAATATGTGATTGGGGTGTATATAAGTTAATTCATTTAAAATGTCTTATACCTTGGGGCAAATTTAAAATTCTTTGATACCTTGTATTTGAAGACAGGTGGGGTAATAGTTTGAATCCTAACAATACGCCTACTAAATACGAACGGAGAGACATCAGACAATCTATGCCATGTTTCCTATCTAATCGAAAGCCTATAATGTTATTTGCTCCGAAAATAAGTGTATATCTAAGTGCATGTAACAGTGACTCCTGCTGCTAAGTGGGCACCAATTATTTTCATCTTAACCGCACGTCCTTTTTTTAATAATGGTTATTTCTTTAATTTCTTCACTTGACTATATATACCTCCGGTAGCTTCTGTTTTGGTTATTGACAATATAAAAACACATATCTGGTGTGCGTATATATCATCAACATAAGACCCTTGTTAATCCATGGTCGAGTACACAGGCATGTGAAAGGCATGCGTATATATATCATAATTGTATGAGCTGATCGAGAGCTTCCTAATGGCCCGTAAAAACGACATTGTAGTCTATTGTGACATAAATAAAAATAATAATTTGGATACTAGGGAAAATGAACGATGGACAATATATGCCATGTTCGCTTATCTTATAATCCGTACTTTTTTAGCTTGTTTTTTTAGCTATAACAGTGTTTTTCTCTCACAACAAATCAGCCAGAACAGTGTTTCGACTTGTTTTTTCAGCGAAGCGAACGGGGCATAATAGACAATTCCCACCATGTTTAATTTGATACCCTTAGTCGAAAGTGGCGTGTGTCATTTCAGCCAAAATATATTAGTATATCTGAAGTCCGTGTACTAGTGACCCTACTGCGCTTATTGGGCATCAATAACTGCAATAAGGCCGGTCTCAATGCAGATTTTCTGGGTGTTTTATGACACTAAATAAGCTAATGCGGTAAAGTATAGATAAAGAGAGATGATGAAAATTTCATAATGAAATGAGCTTCGAAGGATAAAACTTGTCTATATATATTGTTTCCAACACAGAGAAATCTTGAAATCTGGAACATATATAAAACTCCCACTCAGATTGGCCTAATGCTTTCTTGACTTGGCCCTATACCGCCGGTAGCTTCCGTTTTGTTAAGAATTAATATAAAACACATATCTGACAACACATGTATCATCACCAGAAAGACCCTTGCTTACTACCATGGCCGAGCACACCAGTCATGTCAAAAGTGTGCGTGTATATATGAGTTGAGACCTCTTAATGGGCGGGTATACATACGACATTGTCGTCTATTGTGATGTACGTATACATGTCAGCGCAAGTATAGGTCGAACGTCATATTTGCAATTTATTACAGAGAGAGAGAGAGCGCAACCGAGAGCACACGTCTCGTGTCACTATACACTATTATATGAAACTCCATATAGCGCCTAGTTAGTCTCAATTCCCAGAGAAGTAAATAATCGCAACCTAGCTATATAACATATACCAGTAATAATTTTAACATCGTTAGACCTCCAGAGCAACGACAGCGTCATTTTGGGTACCAAAGATACAGGTAGTGTCAGATAGATATAGGAGATTTCAAACTTTGAAGGATCAAGGAAGGAATATTCATCATCTTTATAGTGTCAAAATATAAGGATCTGAATTCTCCTGCTAATAGAATGTGTGTAAAGACCAAACAAATAAAGGACGTGCATACGGCCGTGTCTCCAGTGCTGGATCGAGCTTGGAGAAGATGCATGCCGTCGTCGTGCAGCAGCTAGCTAGCACATGGATCCGGCCGGACTCCACTTGTTGGTGGTTATTTGGAACGGATCGCGTGACGACGTGACCGGCTGATCGATCGACCAAATACTGCGTGTGCCGTGTGCCCCGCCGTCCCGGCCGAGCCGCCCTCGATCGCGCGCGCACACGGGGCCTGGAGCTGGCGGAGCCCTGGAGACGACGAGTAGGCAGCAGTCGTCCTCGCCTCATTGTGCATTATTGTGCCTGTGCAGCCAGCACGCGCGAATATAGTAACGCGCGCTGGTACTTGTAGATAGACGTCGCTTGGACGTACAGAAGCCGGCCGGGCCGGGGGTGCGATGCGACCGACGCACCTACTCCTGCCCGGCCGCTTCGATCAAGCTACAGGTGCTCCGTTTACGCGTCCGAATTCGATCGAAAGGGAGACCGTACCGTATGTATAGCGCGATCACCGCCGTGAAAGGTCACGTTTGTTTGTCTTATAATCTATACTTTTCAGTTTATATTTTTAACAGAAAGAATGTTTTTCTCTCACAACAAATCAGCCGAAACAGTCAAAACGTAATGGGCATCGGCTACACATGCGCCCCGGCCGGGGCGGTCAGCGCGCGTACAGCGGGTCTGAATGGCAGGTGTGTAAATCAGCCGACCTACCCCGTGGTTCACGATCGAGCCCAGCGATTCGCCGAGCCGCGTTTATTTACTGCAGTCTTGCCGGCGGCAGCAGCATGCATCAGTATTGTTCATGCCAGCATCACGACTAGGATCCTTCTGCCCGGCCGTATAGCCAGCTACTCGATCAGCCAGGGCATATGCATCCATGTGTGCGGCCGGCCCCGGATCAGTAGGCGTGCGCGTGATTGGCTCCTCGGATTACCTCCGTCCTGCCTGCACCAAAGGCAGTCGAGGCTACTGTCCGCCCGCGTGCACCACATGTGTTTTGCCGTGGCTTGTATGATGCAGGTTTGGTCCGGTGAATGGTGACTGCTAGATTGACTGGACAACTTACTCCGTAGAATGCTGCTGCAAGCGAGCGAATGTCCTTTTTTGTGTGCCATTGATCCCTGCCAGCCAGACGAGCAATGTCTGCGGCCTCGCTCTAGCAAGGACTGGCTGCGCACAAGTCCACGGCGCGGGCCTGCTTGGCTGCTTGCCGAGGAGCGCAGGGCAGGACAAGGCCAACCAAATCAAATCATACGCTTTTTTTTTCTTTTGCTTATTAAATAAACCTGACTATGGCCGGGTCGTCGATCGATCAGTAGTGTAGGCGGTAGCGAGCACTCCACGTTGCTACTGATGCGCAGAAACAGTGCTGGTACATTTGCTACAGGCTCCAGTACTCAGTACTCCTGCAGCCCTGCCTACAGTACTTACTATGACATAGTAACAGGAGATAATAAAGATAATAAAGCGCGGGGGGCGCCGCTGACAACGTGGGCCACGTTTGGATGTCTCGCTGTGCCTTGCTTTGCTTGGCTGACAACGTGGGCCACGTTTGGTTGGTTTGCTTTCAGCCTCGGTTCTTGCGCTTTCCAGAATTCCGTCGCCAACACAAGCAAGCCAAAACTGCTCTCCGCAGCGGGCAAGCCTAGCTTTGCTGAGCAAGGCGAGGCGAGCTGGCCGTGCAAATCAACCAAACGCGCCCCTGGTCGCTGGCGAGGCCACGTGAGCAGACAGTGGTGTTGCCTCGCGCCACGACGCCCACTCTGCCGGGTGCGCCACTTTATTGTGATGGCTGCTCGCACCAGAGGATTGAGAGGGAGGGTTGCTCGGCTGCTCCCACCCGGCGCCAGGCCCCGGCCTCCTCTGCCATGTGCGGCGGTGCTGCCGAACGTCGGGTACTAGTGGCTGTGTGGCTGGCCTGCACACGCACGGATCGGAACGGGGCAATAAGCGACAGACGGCTGCAGAACAAGGGAGGACGGAGGAGGCAGGCTCCAGCACTCCGCGGCAAGGTCGGGAGGAGGCGGGCTCCACTGCTCTAGCGCTCCCGTTGCTAGTGGTAAAGTACAGAGCGAATGTGGTGGGACGGAGATATATTAAATTTGGAGAGTCATTTATAGAGTTTGTTGGAGACCTTTTTCCTTTAATAATAGACAAATTTATTTTAGAAAACAATTTGGCTAATCTCTTGGATATGCTCTAATATAGCTATATCTTTCCCTGGTACAATACACAAAATTCTTTCAAAGAAAGAACAGTATTTGAAAATACTATTAACGGATGATGGTGCTAGTTCAGTGTCCTAACTCTACTCTCTTCGTCGCTTTTACTTTTTTGTTATACATGTAGACAGTACTTGCAGTCAGAAGGAACCGAGTCCAGTCAGCACGGGTACGTACAGTTTTTCCTTCTTACCAGGGCAAAGGTGTATGTACACACGCACGTACGCATGCACACACACGCTCTCTGAAGTTACTGCCTCTTTTTTTTACTAAGGCCTCGTTTAGTTCCGCGAAATTTAGAAATTTAGCTATTGTAACACTTTCGTTTTTATTTGACAATTAGTGTTCAATCATGAACTAATTAGCCTTCAAAACATTCGTCTCGTGATTTTTCACCAAACTGTGCAATTAGTTTTTTTTCCGTCTACATTTAATGTTCCATACACGTATCACAAGATTTGATGTGATAGCTACTGTAGCACTTTTTGAGAAAACTTTTTAAACTAAAAAGGCCTAAGAAACACGACGCCACGCACTCTAGCCAGCCAGTGAAACTGACGCCATGTACATTCGAGCTTATTTAGAACTGCTTCTCCGTCATAGAACAATATTTTTTTCAAAAACATTTTAACATAAACATAGCATTAGCCAAGTATCGCCTTCGGTTCGCGTGCAGTATTTCGGTTGTCGTTTTTTGCTGTGCCGTGTAATACGGAGCCGACAAGTGCCCAACAAGCAGTGATCACTCAGCATCGTCCTTGCGATTTACGTATTTGCTCCGATGCCTGCATGCAGGTGGTCCCTGATCGCTAGCCACCTCCCCGGCCGAACAGACAACGAGATCAAGAACCACTGGAACTCGCACCTCAGCCGGCAGATCCACACGTACCGCCGGAAATACACCGCCGGGCCGGACAACACCATCACCATCGACATGAGCAAGCTGCACAGCGCCGACAAGCGGCGCGGCGGCAGGACCCCGGGCCGGTCGCCGAGGAGCGCCAGCAGCAGCAGAAAGAGCAAGAGTAAGCAGCCGGACCCTGAGCCTGAACTGGAGTCCGGCGACGCGAAAGGCACGTCCAGCCCGGCCACCGTCACCATCGACATGAGCAAGCTGCGCAGCGACGACAAGCGGCGCGGCGACAGGACCCCGGGCCGGTCGCCGAAGAGCGCCACCAGCAGCAGCACGACCAAGAGCAATCAGCCGGACCCTGAGCCCGAACCGGAGTCCGGCGACGCGAAAGGCGCGTCCAGCCCGGCCACCGCCGCGACGTTAGCGGCGCACGGCGACGGGGCGCGATCCGGATCCGGATCCGAGGGGCCCTGCAGCGACGACGCGACCGGGCCGTGGGTGCTGGACCCGATAGAGCTTCCGGACCTCTGGGAGGCCCTGATGTCTATCGGGGCTGGCCACGATTCCACGGTTACCCCCGAAGGATTGGAATTTGACGCGTTGATCGGTGAGGCCCAGGTGGACGACCTATTCGACATGGACTGGGATGGCTTCGCAGCGACCAGAGCGCGCAGCTGCAGCTGGCCGCTGAGCCGCAGGCTGCTGTTGCGTTGGGCTGCGCCGTGGTGGACCCGGATCCGAACCAGCCCAACAGCAGCAGCGGCAGCACGGCCGAGGGGCCTTCACCGAGGACGCGACTGGGCCGTGGGTGCTGGACCCCATGGAGCTCGGGGACCTCTGGGAGGCCGAGAGTGAGATAGACGCCCTGACGTCGTCTACAGACGCAGCTCTGGAAGGATTTGACGCGGTCGGCGGTGAGGCCCAGGTGGACGACCTGTTCGACATGGACTGGGACGGCTTCGCAGCCCATCTATGGGGCGGGCCGGAGCATAACGACCACAGCGCGGAGCTGCAGCAGGCCGCCGAGCCGCAGGCTGCTGCTGCGGCCTGCACCCCGGACGAACACGAGCTTGAGGCGTTCGAGACTTGGCTCCTGTCCGACTCGTTCTGACAGTTCCGCCATCAAACCGATCAGACCAACCAGGTGGCCATATGATCGACGCAGCAAGGTGTTGTTCGTCTGTACAGCCTTTGTAGATTTTGTTTTTAGCTCGTAATAACTAGGTGCTGTTTCGTGCATGGCGTATTGGCATGGACCCTTTTCTTCTTCACATTTGCTGTAGAATAGAGAGCAGAGAGTTGCATGATGCATGGCATGTAAGGGTAGTAGTAACCAGGTGCTCGTCCATCTCTCGGTGAAGTGAAGTGAAGACCAATAAAAGCGCAGCAGTAGACGTTGCTGTAGCGTGTAGGGAGGCGGCCGGTTTGGCAGTGTGTGCTATGGCTTTGTGAACAGGGATGAAAATGTTTCTTGTGATCTGAATCCTGACAATATCCTCGTTGGAAGAATATGCGAAGAACCCTTGACAAAGCTAGCGAATGAGCACCGCTGCACTGTCTCGAAGCTGAATGCCATCGCATCGGCTGAAGGAATGAACCGAACTTTCACTGCTCTACTAGACATTTTACAACTGTTTACAAGTACCCATCTGGCTCGTGAGCAGTGAGCTCATTCCTCCTTGGGTCAGCCTGTGGTAGCCGACAGGAAGCAATGACACAGCACGAGCAGTCGAGCACTCCTGCTGGACGCAGGCATTAATAACTGCATGTTTAGGCTGCCGCAGCTTAAGCCGTACTATTCCAGCGAAATAACGATATTTTTCTTACATAATAAATTAGTAATAACATCAATATTTACTAATTTTTTTAGCCAGCCAAACACGACCCGTGGCTGTGGCCTCCGTCCATCTCACATGGACACATGGTTCCGTGTCGACGCGAAAAAGGTTGGTACCGTACGCACGTGTACTGTGTACGTACAACCGGATAAAGCTCTGCTCAAGGGATTTGTCCATCGTCATAACTCATAAGATCCTCTCCTGATTAGGAGTATATAAACCTCTACTAGTGCTGGCTGTCAGATCAGAACATTGTTGAAATTACAGGATCATTAGATGTACATCTAGTGGTGCTGACTTGACTAGAATAGGATAAACATGCCCTAGAACATGGACTATAAGATCCAAGAGGAAGAGCGGAGCAGAGGTACCGATCATCGGAGGGCTTGGTGGAGCTAGAACCGTCCATCGCGTCGGTAGAGAGGGCGGTGAAGAGGTGGCGCTCCAGTAGCGGTGAAGTGGTCCAATGGCGACGACGTCTCGGTGATGGTGCTTCATGTCGCTGGCTGCGCCCCTCACTAGATCGGGTTAGGTTTTGTCAGTGGGTGTGGCGGCTCACGGTGAACCTCGTACTAAGAGCCACCGGCCCCCCACATCTCTTTATAGCGCAGTGCGACGGAGGCCTACCAACCATGTAGGGTTGGGCACCCCCGATTATGGCGCGAGGTCAAGGGCCAACTTGGCCGTTGGGCCGAGCCAGAGAGATCAACACTAACAATCTCCCCCTTAATCTCATCTTATTATTTAAACTTAACTTACTTTATCTTTTTCCCATTCTATTACAGATCAAAGTACAGAGCGTGTCTCATCGTCACGGTCAGTGCCATTAGATTAACAGGTACAATGCCCCTCTCTATTTTGAAACAGATTCTCAACTAGACCCTTATTATCCGGGAATCATAGGCTTTCCCTTAAATCCGTGCCGGCTAAGTGTTCTCTGAACACGTTGGGTGGTAAGCCTTTTGTAAGCGGATCCGCGAGCATCTTTTTTTTTACTTATGTGCTCAAGACTAATTATTTGATCTCGGATTTTATCTTTCACAACATAATACTTTATGTTAATATGTTTGGCAGCACCACTTGACTTAATGTTGTTAGCATAACATACCGCTGGATTATTATCGCAGTATAATTTGATTTGCTTATGTATGTCGTCTACCACTTTCAACCCGGGCATGAACTTCTTCAGCCAATTTACCTGCCCTGTGGCCTCATAACACGCTACAAATTGGCATACATCGTAGAAAATGTAGTGACGGTTTGCTTAGAGCTTTTTCACGATATAGCTCCTCCTGCGAAAGTAAATATATATATCCTGACGTGAACTTTTTATCATCTCCCACATAATCTGAATCTAAATACCCCTCTATGTATAGGGAATCAGACTTCTGTACGTTAGCATGTGACCTTTTATGCCTTACAAGTAACGTAAAAATTTCTTTACCAATCTCTATGTTCTATTCCTGAATTACTTTGATATCTGCCAAGTAACTCGATAACAAAAGCTAAGTCAGGGCGTATATACACTTGAGCATATTGTAAACTTCCAATAGCTGAAGCATATGGAACCACTTTTATTTGATCGATCTCATATTGGTTTCTGGGACATTAGAATTCCCCAAATCTATCGCCCTTGACTATGGGAGCAGGTGAAGGCTTACAATTTTGTATATTGTATTTTTTAGAACCTTTTCTAAGTATGCCTTTTGTGATAATCCTAAAACCCAATTTTTTCTATCTCGGTGAATCTCTATTCCTAGAACGAACGAAGCTTCACCGAGATCCTTCATATCAAAATTCGATGACAAGAACTTCGTTTCTAGTAGTAGATTAACATCACTACTAGCGAGTAAGATGTCATCCACATACAAGATTAGGAAAATATATTTCCTATTCTTGAACTTTGCATAAATGTAATTGTCCTCTACATTTTCTTGAAACCTAAACTTCTTTATTGTACTATCAAACTTTAAATACCACTGTCTTAATGCTTGTTTTAATCCGTAAATGGATTTCTTCAGGCAGCATCACATACGTTCTTTTCCTTCCACAACAAAACCTTTTGGTTGTGTCATGTCAACATTTTCCTCCAAATTCCCGTTTAGGAACGCCGTCTTTACATCCATCTGATGTAATTCTAAATGTTAATGTGCTACAAGCACCATTATAATTCTAAAGGAATCCTTACATGAGACTGAAGAAAATGTCTCATTGTAATCTATGCCTTTTCTTTGTGTCAAGCCTTTCGCCACAAGTCGCACTTTAAATCTTTCTACATTCCCTTTGGAGTCGTATTTAGTTTTGTAGACCCATTTACAGCATACTATCTTGGTTCCTTTAGGAATTGTTTCTAAGTCCCAAACACCGTTGTTATTCATTGATCTTATTTCATCTTGCATGGCTTCAAGCCACTTTGATGAGTGAGCGTTTCTCATGGCTTCTTCAAATGAGGTGGGATCACCCTCCATTTGAAATTCTTCACATTTATAGACTTCATAGTCACCAAGAATTGCTAGTTTCCTGACTCTTTGAGACCTTCTAGGGGCCTCGTTAGTTGGCGCTTGTTCTATATGAGGCTGTTGTTGCTCTTCCTTATGTGTGACAACGGGTTCTACAAGATCCTGAAGGACAGGTTCCTCATGTTCATTCATTGTCGCCACGGGAGAACAAACAACAGGTACTGTTACTACAGTGTCTTGCACTGTTGGTGCAGCAGCAACAGGTAGCGTGAAGAATGGCTCCTGAACCATCGGAGTAGGCACATGAACCCGCTTCTCCTCTAAGTTAATTTCTCACACTACCATGCCCCCTGATCAACTCTTTCTCCAAGAACACAACATGTCTTATTTCTACAAACATCGTATGTCTGTCAGGACAATAGAAGCGATAACCTTTTGACTTTTCTGAATAGCCAATGAAATGTCAACTAACTGTCTTGAGTCTAGCTTCTCTATGTTTGGGTTAAAGACTTTAGCCTCAGCTGGACAACCCCACACACGTAAATAGCTAAGTGAGGGTTCATTTCCTGTCCATAACTCATATGGTGTTTTAGGCACTGACTTGCTTGGCACTCAATTAACAATATGAATAGCAGTTTTTAATCCCTTCATCCATAAATTTATCGGTAGAGTAGAGTAATTTATCATACTTCTCACCATATTTATTAAGATACGGTTACGTCTTTCAGCTACTACATTCTGCTGAGGCCTGCCCGGTGTAGAGTACTAGGCAACTATGTTATTTTCTTGTAAGAACCTTGCAAAAAGTCCAGAAACTTGGTCATATGTGGTGTGTCGACCGTAGTACTTCTCCCACGGTCGGATCTTACTATCTTAATCTTTAAATTGTGTTAATTTTCTACTTCAGCCTTAAATATCTTAAATTTATCCAATGCTTCTGATCTTTCCTTAATTGGATAAATATAGCCATAACGAGAATAATCATCTGTGAATGTTATAAATGAACCATAACCATTCACACTCTTCACAGGAAAAGGACCACAGATGTCTGTGTGAATTATTTCTAAAATTTCTGCGCTTCGTTGAGCTTCTTTATTTATTTTTTTAACATACTTTCCTTTTATATAATCAATGTATTGTTCTAAATTTAAAAATTATAATGGCGCAAGAATTAATTTCTTAATCAATCGCCCTATGCCCCCCCTCGAAATATGGCCTAAACGACAGTGCCATAATTTCGATGATACATCATGAACTCTCTTCCGCTTATTTCTTGCATTCATAGACGATGAGGCATTCACATTCTCAGTGATAACAAATAAAGCTTGTCTTGTCGTAAGACAAGACCAACACACTTATTATTAAACACAATCTAACATTTGCCATTACCAAAATGGCAATCATATTCATCATCGTCTAAACGTAAAACACTTATCAAATTTCTACGTAAAGAGGGTATATATGTTGAAATTATAGGATCATTAGATGTAGATCTAATGGTGCTGACTTGACTATAATAGGATAAACATGCCCTAGAACATGGGCTACGTGATCCAAGAGGGAGAGCGAAGCAGAGGTACCGACCATCGGAGGGCTTGGTGGAGTTGAAACCGTCCATCACGTCGGTAGAGAGGACGGTGAAGAGGTGGCGCTCCAGTGGCGGTGTAGCGGTGAAGTGGTCCAACGGCAACGATGTCTCGGTGATGGTGCTTTCAATCGCTGGCTGCGTCCCTCACTAGATCGGGTTAAGTTTTGTTGGTGGGTGTGTCGGCTCACGGTGAACCTCGTACTAAGATCTGTCGGTCCTCCACCTT